TTGCTGGTAGATCTAGTGTTTGGAGACAAACACTTTCTTGTTGTATCCTCACATGGCAGAGAAAAGGAGAGAGGTAGAGACAGAGAGAAAAAGATAGATGGGGAAGAGAGGGAGGAAGCAAGCTTTCTCGTCTCTTCTTGTACAGGCACTAATGCCATTCATGAGAGCTTCACCTTCATGACCTAATTATATCCTGAAAGCTTTATATCCTAATCCCACACACCGGGGATTAAGATCTCAATCTATCACTTTGAAGAGAACACATTTGGGCCATAATGGAGGTTCGCACCTAACGTGTTTTGCACTATTTCTTCCACTCTCTGAAAATCTCTTTTTCAGTCTTCACAAGGTATCTCTTTCAGATTTGAATCTCACCCATGAAAAGTAGCCTCAAGTCACCCTCTATCACATCACTCTGCTTTTTGTTTCTATTTTCATTTTTAACTTTTACGTACAGGGGGTAAATGTGCAGGTTTGTTATGTAGGTAAATTCGTGTCGTGGGAGTTTGTTAAACAAATTCATCACCCACGTACTAAGCCTAGTACCCAATAGCTATTTTTCCTGATCCTCTCCCTTCACCAACAAGTAAGCCACAGTGTCTATTGTTCTCTTTGTGTTCATGTGTTCTCATCATTTAGTGCTCACTTTTAAGTGAGAATATGCAGTATTTGGCTTTCTGTTCCTGCATCAGTTTGTTAAGGATAACGGCCTCCAGCTCCATCTATGTTCCCACAAAGCACATGACCTTGTTCGTTTTTATGGCTGTGTAATATTCTATGGTGCACATGCACCATATTGTCTTATCCACTCTACCATTGCTGGGCATTTAGGTTGATTTCATATCTTTGCTGTTGTCAATAGTACTACAATGAACATATAAGTGCATGTGACTTTATGTTAGAACAATTTGTATTTCTTTGGGTATATACCCAGTAATGGCATTGCTGGATTGAATGGTAATTCTGTTTTTAGGTCTTTGAAGAATACCCACACTGCTTTCCACAGTGGTTGAAATAATTTACACTGTCACCAACAGTGTGTAAGTATTCCTTTTTCTCCAGTGTCTGTTATTTTTTGACTAGTAATAGCCATTTTGACTGGTGTGAGTTGGTATCTCATTGCGGTTTTGATTTGCATTTTTCTAATGATAAGTGATACTGAGCTTTTCTTCATGTGCTTGTTGATTGCATGTGCGTCTTCTTTTGAAAAGTGTCTGTTGATGTCCTTTGCCCACTTTTCACTGGAGTTGTTTGTTTTTTGCTTCTAATTTTGTTTAATTTTCTTATACATGCTGGCTCTTAGACCTTGGTCAGATGCATAGCTTGCAAATATTTTCTCCCATTTTGTAGGAAGTCTGTTTGCTCTGTTGATAGTTTCTTTGCTGTACAGAAGCCTCTTAAGTTTAATTAGATTCCATTTGTCAATTTTTGCTTTTGTTGTGATTGTTTTTGGCATTTTCATCATGAAATATTTGCCTAGTCATACATCCAAAATTGTATTGCCTAGTTTTCTTCCAGGGCTTTTATAGTTTGCGGTTTTACATTTAAGTCTTTAATCCATCTTGAGTTGATTTTTGTATATCATGTAAAGTGTTTAATTTCAATCTTCTGTATATGTCTAGCCAGTTATCCCAGCACCACATATGGATAGGGTGTCCTTTCCCCATTGCTTGTTTTTCTCAGCTTTATTGATAATCAGATGGTTGTAGGTGTGTGTCCTTATTACTGGGTTCTCTATTCTGTTCTATTGGTCTATGTGTCTGTTTTGTACCAGTACCACACTGTTTTGGTTACTGTAGCCCTGTAGTATAGTTTCAAGTCAATTAGCATAATGTCTCCAGTTTTCTTTATGCTTATGGTTGTCTTGGCTATTTAGGCTCTTTTTCGGTTTCATATGAATTTTAAAACAGGTTTTTTTCTATTTCTGTAAAGAAATCACAATGATAGTTTAATAGGAATAGCATTGAATCTATAAATAGCTTTGGGCAGTATAACCATTTTAATGCTATTGATTATTCCTATCCATGAGCTCATCTCTAATTTCTTTGAGCAGTGTTTTGTGGTTCTCATCACAGAGATCTTTCACTTACCTAGTTAGCTGCATTCCTAGGTATTTTATTCTTTTGTGGCAACTGTGAATGGGATTATGTTTCTGATTTGACTCTAGGCTTGGCTGTTGCTGGTGTATAGGAATGCTAGTGATTTTTGTACATTCATTTTGTATCCTGAGACTTTGCTGAAGTTGTTTATAAGCTGAAGGAGCTTTTGGACAGAGATTATGGGGTTTTCTAAATATAGAATCATGTTGCCTGCAAACAGGAATAGTCTGACTTCCTCTCTTCCTACCTGGATGCCCTTTATTTCTTTCTATTGCCTGATCACCCTGGCCAGGACTTCCAGAATTATGTTGATTAGAAAAGGTGAGAGAGGACATTCTTGTCTTATGCTGATTTCAACCGGAATGCTTCCAGCTTTTGCCCGTTCAGTATGATGTCAGCTGACATCACTCTTTTTAAATTTTCTTCACAGTACTTACTACCATCTGATGTTTTTTTCCATTGTTTTGTTTAGGTATTTGCCTATTTATGATGTTCTTCCACTAGAATGTTGGCCTGTTGAAAGTAGGAGTTTACAAGGCCTTAAACTACAGCTCCTAGAATAATGCCTGACACAAAATAGGAACTAGCTGGAAATTTCCGGAGAAGAACTTGGCTTAGTACTGCAAGGTCTTTCAGAACAGTGTCTTAGAGAAAAAATATATATAATAAATCCAGAGGACTTTCATTGTATTTCACAAGCACCTGAAACTCAGCACAAGCAGTAGTACATGGCACTTTTCTCTTTATCTATTCAAACTGGCTCCTCCTCCTGCCCTCCCCAAGCCTGTAAATAGAACCGCCATCCACCCATCCACTCACGGTCTAGTAGACAACCCAAATAAGAAAATAAAACCCTTCGGAGCCAGTTGGCTGTAATCCTAGAACTTTGGGAGGCTGAGACGGGCGGATCACTTGAGGTCAGGAGTTCCAGTCTGGCCAACTTAGTGAAACCCCGTCTCTACTTAAAATACGAAAATTAGCCGGGCGTGGTGGTGCATGCCTGTGGTCCCAGATACGCAGGAGACTGAGGTAGGAGCATCGCTTGAACCCGGGAGGCAGAGATCTGAGATCTCACCACTGAGATCTTGCAGTGAGCTAAGATTGCACCACTTCACTCCAGCCTGGGCGAGAGAGTGAAACTGAGGTTTGTTTTCAGTGCCTGAAGTTTCTGATGCTTAGGGTGAAATACCTGTTTGTATCGTGAATAAATTAGTTTCTTAAAAAACATACCTATGGGCGTCAATAAAACACACAGGGATGCCTGTGACCTAAATGGTCATTGAGCGAGAGCTTCGGTTATATACTCACAGCGAGCAGCCTGCAGACCAGCAGCGTGAAATGCAGGATAGGGTAGGAGGTGGGCCAGGGCTTGCTGCAGCCTGGTTCTTAAACTTACCCTAAGACTCCGGCGCCCTGCTTCAGTCTCTTCCCCCTGGCCCTGGAGCAAGGTGAATCTTCAGCGGAGGTGCTGACCGTGCCTGGGTGAGTTTTTTAAAATGAAGCATCTCCGCTATTAGATCCCTAGCAGCGCGAGGCTGTGGACACGAAACTAGAAGCAAAACACTCCGTTTTGTGTACTGCTTATTCCCGTACCTCCCTGTAATAAAGGTACACACAACCCCAGAGGGATGCCCGCTAGGTGGCGCTCGTTCTCCACCTTACCCAGGAGGGTTCGAAGCCGGCACTTGACTTTTTAACACCCTGAAAGATGATTTCCAACCCTGGCTTTTTAGGTAATAAAACTAAGTCCCGAAGAGGGTCTTACGTGAGGTTGCTTCTCTACGACTCAGAGCCGCGCACATAATCTGGTTTCTGAGCCTGAGTTTCCATCACCTGGCTGTCTCTACACATGGTTTAGTTTGTTGATTATAATAAAATGTTGTGTTTCCTTATTTCTACATAACGAGGTTTACGTTCAGATCCTCAGGCCTTGGTGTGATTTGTTTTCAAATGTGTGGAACAGAAAAAAAAAAAGTCATTAGATTTGCCTGACTGAATTTTCTCTTTGATTACCTTAAATCCGAACGAAGCTCCTTTTCCAATGAATAATAAGTAATTAGAAATGGGTAAGATCTATAATGGGAAACAATTAATAAGTCTGAAGGTTAATGAGAAAACTCGATTAAAGTAGAAAATCCAAATGGTTTTGACATCAGACAGAGCCTGATTTAAATCCTGACTTAGCCACTTACTAATAGGAGTCACAGTTTCCTCATCTGTAAAATGGGAATAACAATGTTTTCTACTCATTCCAGTCCCAGCGGTGTGTACATTCAATGAAACAATAGGCTTTTGGTTCCTAGCACACTGTCAGTGAGCAATGTTTGTTAACTACCTTTTATATTATAGTCAGTTACAATACAGCTTCTCTCTGCAGTCTGATATATTTGGACCATGTGCATGAAAAACCCTGCAGGGGGCTGGACAATTCAGGAACGCAGGCGCGGGTGCCCGACGCTCGGGATGCTTAGGCGGTTTGGAGCGTCCTCGGGAGTCTGTGGACTGGGACCGACGGTCAGTGCTGGGCGCGACTTCTGCCTGGACCTGGCTCTGGCGAGCCTGCAATGCCCCCGGCCCCCGTTCCCCGCCACACATACCCTTCATTTGCTCACTTAGAGAAGCACTGGCTTCAAGAGAGCATCGGGTCCAAACTCTCGTTTTAAAGGACTGGAAGTTAAAGAAGGCAGGTGACTTCAAAGTCACCGGCGTCTGAGAGACGAGCCCCGCGTGGCCTTTCGTTGCTGGGTAGCACTCGGTGGGCGCGCCCTCCGGCCACTGGCGTCAGAGAAGGCTGCTCAGGGCGCAGGTGGCAGGCGTTGGGGGTGAGGCGCTCGGTGGCACCGCCAGGAAATCCCCGGCCTACTGGGCGCCCCCGGGAGCGCGGGCACGTGCGCAGCAGCCTACAGCGCGCCCCCGAGGGCCGGGGCTTCCCCTTCCCCGCCCTCCCGGCTTTCGCAGCAGAGTCCGGCTCTCCGCCCGCCGCCTTGGAAGCCTCACCGCACAGCAGCGTCCCCAGCCCGGGCTATTCCGGGGACCGGAGGGTGCAACGCGTAAGGGGCCCGCCAGATCCTAACTGCCGAGGAGGAGCAGGAGGAGGGAGGAGGAAGAAGAGGAAGGTGTGGCGGAGGAGGGGAGGGAGGCAGAAGAAAGAGAGGCCAAAGACTAGAAGAAGATGGGCCCGGGGAAGCCGAGGGGGTGCGTCGGGGGAGCAGGGCGCGGACGCCGAGCGAGCCCCGCGCCTCCCAAAAGCCTCACCGGCCGCCCCGCCCGGCCGCGCCTCTCCGCCGACTCCCAGGCCGGCTCAGGCCGGAGCGTGGCACGGTCGGGAGGTTGCAAAGTTCCTGGAGCTCACAGCTGAGCCCGAAGGAAGTCGCCCTCGATGGGCACGAAGCGGGGCCCAGGCACGCCCGCGAGATCGCGTTAGGATCTGCGGTCCTCCGACTGGCGCGGGCCTGCTGCGCCTTCGCCACACACCCCCACTCTGGGCCTGGACTCCGCAGTGACGCCGGGTATTTCTGAGCATCTGACCACCTCCCGTCCCCCACAGCCTTTTCGTTCCCACCCAAACCCTTACTAGGAGCAGCTTCTAGTTGCAGCTCAGGACCCATGAGTTCACTCTCTCGCCAAGCACTCAGCTCCCGGCCCTGCCTACGGTCACCCGCAGACCTAATGGTCGGCTAAGCGCCGCAGTGGCCCGAGATGACACCAGGAGCCTCCCTTGCTGTGCGCTTCCGGAAGACGCGGAACGTCTTTCTCACACTCCTGGTACACAAAAATACCCAACAACTCAAAATCGCCGAACCACATCTTTTCGCGCTTTAAAAACCTCTGCCCGAGCCTGTGGCAGGAGCATATCCAACTGTGATTTGGATTTATTTTTAAACATCGAATCGAAGGGAAGAGGGGAGGGATTCGCAACTAAAGCGTAGTTTTTTTTTCAAGCAAGTCTTTACATAGCCCCAAACCTACTCTAGTACTCTGTCATTCAGCCCCCAAACGTCTCTGCCTGCCCTTATGGTTCGGATCTCACTCCACTATTAGCACCAAGTCCTAAATCCACAAAGAGATAGCTGTGCAGGATACCAAACCCATGTCTGCCTTTCCCCTACCTTCCAGGCAACTGGTGTCAATCTCCTCACTGTAGTTCCCAGCATCCCAGCCTGGGGTGCGGAGAACGATAATTTAAATAACATAGCGGGGAGGAGAGGACACACAGTTTTGAAAGACGGTAAGCATTCAGCTGTGTTCCCCTCTACGTCCTTACACTTGCTGAGCACTGACACCAAATTTAAACCGCGTTCCTTCAATACTGATGTAATTGTAAAGAGCTATAAAGGGCAATGACCTCTTGAAGTGAGTGTTTTTTTCCCCAGGTACCCTACGAGGTCTGCACAAATCGAGAAAGCATCATGTAGCAGAAATGCTGAAAACTATAGATGCTGCAAAACCTCATTCTGAGGCTGAAAACTATGAATAGTGGGTGTATTTTCTCCTGCGGTGCAGAAAAAGAACCACCAAAAACAAAGCAACAAGGGAAAATGTTATTTATTTTAATGATACCAAAAACACCAGTCCTAGCAATTTATTAAAGTTAAATCATAGTCCTTTAAACATATTTAATGGTTCAAGTTTGTGTATTTGGTGTTAACCCTCTGGTAAAGTTTATGGAGAACAGTGAAGTACGTTAATTGAGCAAATTTTATGTTAAAAAAGGAATAACAAATTTAAAAATGTTTTTATATAACCACAATATTTGTATTTCTTAGCTTGGTTCCTCCTATTACATAATAGAATGCATTTCTTCTTTTTTAAAGAGCAAAAAGTATTGTCACTTCTGGATCACTTTATTATGGTAATTCCTAGATATACTCTTAAGCAAACAAACATATCTATTTATAATTTTATTCAACGCACAGGTAAGAGATTAAAAAAATGAAAGTTTTCTTTTCTTCCTGATGCAAAGCTTAACAAACTCCAATTAAATTCAGTATTGATCGGCCAGGAAAACAACCGTAAAATTTACAGAAATTCTCCCAAAGATGCCTTTCAGTTCTTCTCCTCTCCTGACCTTACTTCTAACGAAACCATTTTTTCTAATTCCTCTATAAAAACTGAATCAAATCAAAGACGGCGAGGAAAGAAAAATATTTCTATAGTGATCTTAATTAACTGATCATTTCAGCAAAGAGCATTAGCAATGAGGTATCAGCGAAACTGTAGGGAGAAAAAAGGATGCATTTTGTTCTTCGTGTTTATGACTCTTCCTAGAGAACAGAAACTACGAGCATGATTTATGGAACTGCATTATATTGGATTTTCTCCGCAGATTTGACTCAACTTATTATCAGTATTCTATTAAAGTGCTGGAATAGGTGGATACATCTGCAGAGTGAGAAACGTGATTTGCCTCCGGTGGATGAGCCTCCCAGTTGCTGGAGAGTGCTTCGAGGACCAGGCTTAGGAGAGAAGGGGTTAAGTCAGACCCTGTCTTTAGCGGCGCAAAGTGCCCAGTTTTGTCTGTTAAAGTCAGCGTCGCCCAACTGGAGCCAGCCAATGCACGGCCGGGAGCGCCCGGGACAGCCCAGTGGAGGGGCGTGGCCTGAGGCTGTCACTCAGCAGTGAGGAATGACACCCTCGCGGGAGGGGGGCCGTACAGTGGAACGCTAGGGAAGGAAAGAGAAAAGAAACAGATAAAACCCGGGCAGGGGGTAAAAAGGTGCCCCGCGCCTCCTGGAATCCAGCGGCCGCGGCCGCCACCGCCATCGCCGCCGCCGCCGGGGCTGGGCTCCGGAAGAGCCTGCCCAGTCCGGCAGGGAAGGACGAGCCAGGAGCGAAATCCTGCAGGCGGGGAAGGGACAGGCGCTCAAAGAAAAGTGACTCGGGCCGCGCGCCCCGGCGGCGCTCGGGAGGGGACTGCAGCTGCGGAGGGGCCCCCGCCAATCCTCCTTCACGTCCCCCGAGGGGGCAGACCCCGGCCCGCCCCTAAGGGCGAAAAGGGCTGAGATAATCCAGCTGAGCTGCGCAAGCAGAGCGTCTGGCTCTGGATTCCGGGGGAGGGGGTCACCGGGCGGGGTGGGCCTCTGAGGTGGGGGTGAGGGTCGGCGCAGATCCTGGGACGCAGTGGGGCGGGGGCTGCTGGGCCGCGCAGGAGTGGGCGGCTGCGGCCTCGCGCACCCGGCTCACTCGCGCTACGGCCGCCGGCGCTCTCCGTCCAGCTCGGAGCTGCTCGGCGCCCCAGCTTCCCGCCCCGCCGGCCGCTCCGGCCCGCGGCGCAGATGGCTGTGCGCGGCGCCAACACCTTGACGCCCTTTTCCATCCAGGCGATCCTCAACAAGAAAGAGGAGCGCGTGGGACTGGCCGCGCCAGAGGGGCGCCCGGCGCCCGGGGGCACAGCGGTGGCGGTGGCTGCGGCACCCGCTGTCTGCTGTTGGCGGCTCTTTGGGGAGAGGGACGCGGGCGCGCTGGGGGGCGCCGAGGACTCTCTGCTGGCGTCTCCGGCCGGTACCGGAACAGCTGCGGGGCGGACTGCAGAGAGCCCGGAAGGCTGGGACTCGGACTCCGCGCTCAGCGAGGAGACTGAGAGCAGGCGGCGCTGCGCGGACGCGCCGGGGGCCAGCCGGGCCGGCTTCGCGGGGGGATCCTTGAGCCTCGGCCAGCCGATCTGTGAGCTGGCCACTTCCAAAGACCTAGAGGAGGAAGCCGCGGGCCGGAGCGACAGCGAGATGTCCGCCAGCGTCTCAGGTCTGCTGCGGCTTCGCGGGGATGGGGGCCGGGCTAGGGGGATGGACGTGGAGGGCAACCATGCCGAGTGGGATGGCCGGCTATGAGCACCCTGCGCCCTGGGGCTCGGAGGCTGGCCAAGTCCCGAAGTTCTGCGAGCTGGCGCGAGCTGCTCTACCCCTTGGGAAACTGAGCCCGGGAGAGACCGGAGGAGCTCCTCAGAGCTCTGCGTCCCGTCCCGGGGCGAGGCCTAAGACGTTCCGGGCCCATGTGCATTAGACTGGGTTGGAGAATCGCTGCCCCCTGCATTCGCGGTTCTTTGAGTTCGTCGCCAATGCTTTCTGCCGTGTCTGTCCCCAAACCCCCAAAATCAGGGAAGCCGAAAAGCAAGGGGTTCAGACACCTCAGATAGCCAGTGCCTTAGCTCTGGACCAGAGACCCTGCCAGCTCAGGGTCCCAGGGCCTGGCCCCACAGTAGGTGGATATGTGGTGAAGAACACCTCAGAGTGGGCCAGAGCTGAGAATCTGCAGAACTAGAGCTTTAGGGAAAGGGCTGGTGTGGCTTTCTCAGACCCGAGGTCTGGGAGAGCAGCCCTAGGCCAAAGATCCCGGAGTGGGCCTTCAGTTCGTCCTGGAGGCGGGAGAGGCCTCCTCAGCCGTGGCCTGGCCTGTTCTGTGGTCTGGAAGATCCCGGTGCCTGCCCTAGTTGGGTGCAAGCTTCTGTAGTCTCAAGCAGCGGGGAGCGCTGGACCTTTCTGTTGGAGTGCTTCGGGAGGGCGGGTAAGAGGCTGAGAAGCTGGTGTGGGATTAGGGTCCCAAAACTCGAGGCAGGGGTAGCCCCCTCTATTTACTCTCCAGTCCATCCTCTCATTTCCTTGCGAAGAGGAGAGGAGCCCATCTAAGGCCTTGGCTCAGACTGTTTGCATGTCCCTCACAGCAATCCCGGGCAATTCTACCTACCTCTGGCCCCTGGATCCGCCTCCACCTTCCCTTACCTGCACCAGACCAAGTGTGTGCTGCGAGGACGCGCGCGTGTGTGCGTGTGAACTGAGTGTGGGGAGGCGCGTGAACCCAAGCAGAGAGACGGAAATGCAGCCTAGAACTCCAGTGCTCAGCGCTGAGAGCTGAGAGTTTTCACGGATGATCGGGTCCAGTGCCCCAAGTTACTGAGAGGAGCCTGGGGCCCAGAGAGGGTGGGGAGCTGGTCTTGACAACAGAGCGTTGGCACAGCGGCTGAGTCAGCCGTCCTCCTTTGAAGAGGCCTAGATCGGATACCCAGTGGGGCAAGATTCTGAGATCTGCCTCCCGGGCCCAGGGCCTCCCAGAGCTCCGACGGAGTGGGATCAAAGTGTATTTCCGCCCCACCCCCGTGACCCCTGCAGTTGAGGCCCAGTCTCACCTCGTCTGTGGCGCTGACAGTCTCTTGTTTCTGTTCCCACCGGGGTCCGCAGACGACCGCAGCCCAAGGACCGAGGACGACGGTGTTGGCCCCAGAGGTGCACACGTGTCCGCGCTGTGCGGCGGGGCCGATGGCGGGGGCGGCAGCGGGCCGGCGGGCGTCGCGGAGGAGGAGGAGGAGCCGGCGGCACCCAAACCACGCAAGAAGCGCTCGCGGGCCGCCTTCTCCCATGCGCAAGTTTTCGAGCTGGAGCGCCGCTTTAACCACCAGCGCTACCTGTCCGGGCCCGAGCGGGCCGACCTGGCTGCGTCGCTGAAACTCACCGAGACGCAGGTGAAAATCTGGTTCCAGAACCGTCGCTACAAGACCAAGCGCCGGCAGATGGCCGCCGACCTGCTGGCCTCGGCGCCCGCCGCCAAGAAGGTGGCAGTAAAGGTGCTGGTGCGCGACGACCAGAGACAATACCTGCCCGGCGAAGTGCTCCGGCCACCCTCGCTTCTGCCACTGCAGCCCTCCTACTATTACCCCTACTACTGCCTCCCAGGCTGGGCGCTCTCCACCTGCGCGGCCGCCGCAGGCACCCAGTGAACTGGCCTGGGCTGAGGCCGCGAGTGATTCCCGCGCCCCGGCTCCGGACCGCCGCTGACCGCTGTAGGCTGTAGCCTGCACGGGGCGCCCAGCCAAGGGGGCACCGGGAGGTGAAACCCAGCTCCAGCTCCGGTTGGCCAGGACTTGTGCTCTGGCAGCTGGGCTGAGTCTGCCCCGAGGGGGCGCCTTTTTCTAATTCGAACAGGGGCACCCTATGGCCTAGGGGCCCTGATAGCCCACCGGCCTGGAAGCCCCTGGACTCTATTTATTGTCACGACAATGTTGGAGTTGAATTTGGATTCAAATTATGTCTGCCTGGGGGTGGTGTTTTCCCTGAGCGGGAACTCCTGGAAACCACATAGCCTTGAATCCTCGGAATTTCAGGCCTGCTGGGAGCGTCCTGCACTAGGCCACACGAGTTCATGGTATCCATGCTACCAATCTATGTGTATCTACATATCTTTTATTTTTGGAAATTGCTTTTGTAACCAAGGGGTGCGAAATCCTGACAGTCCCAGGCACACCAGGCCAGGGGTTGATTTGTAACGTGAAGTTTTGGGTTTTCAGGCCCTCCGCTCCACCCCTCCGGTGTGTCAGAGCTCGGGTGGGGGCGCCCGATTAGGGTGCTGAATGTAAGGAAGGGAGCCTCCGAGCGTGGTGCAAGCCGGGGGTCTCACACCTTCCCTCTCTGAAGCCCAGGTCCGCGCCCAAGCAGGAAGCGCCTGGGAGCCCCCGAACGAGGAGAGCGCACAGCCGGGCAGCCCTCTGCAGAAATTTTTCTTCAGTTTCTTTTTATTTGTTTAAAGGAGGTTAAGACGTGTAGCACTTTTCAGTTGTTTGTATTCAAATGACGGTTATTTTTGTATTCAATGTGAATATCCCTGGCCAGCCTTTCCACGGCGCC